TGAGCAAGTCTCACTGGCCGGATGCTGACCCGTTATTCTTCTAACAGGCATCGGAAGTGGTTATCTTATGTGCTCCCCTCGCGAGAAGAGGAGGACTATCTGTTGCAGGAGTCCGGGGTTCTTGGAGTAACGGAACCCGCGACACCTCAGACAACAGCGTCGCTGCGCCATCTCCTGGACGAGACGGCCGATCTGATCGACTCTCCGACTTTCATTCGTGTTATGTTACTCCTCAACAACGAATGCTTCCAAACTCTAATTGACCAATGCAAGACCGATGCGTTCAAATCATCCACGCAGGTGCCCACATCTGTTCCTCAGTCCTTCGACTCGGTCGCCACGGTCGTCCCCGCGGCTGACGGCTCCGACACGAAAACGAAGCTGGCAAATGTGTTGGCCGTTCTGGCTCGGCAAGCCCATGTAATCGGAAATGGAACAGCTCCCCCAAACCTGTATCTGACCTCCATTGAACAGGGGGTACGAGAGCTAGAGGCCTTTGCGGCTGTTATATACAGCTCCAACTTTGACTCTGAGCTGCTCGGTACCGATTCAAGGACGCAGCCATCGGGAGTAGAGGCGGGCTTTGATGATCCTACATCACCTGCCCCAGAGATGATTGAGAAGGAGGATGTCAACGAAGAAGGACCCACCCCAGGAGCATCAGTCGTAGCAGTGGACGATGACTCGGCATTTGAGAAGGCATGGGGAAAGGCTGTGGATGATCAACCGTCGAGCAATTGACCGTGTGGCCGTGTGCGGGCTTTTAGAGAATTGTTGGGGAATCTCGGGAATATCTGTGGCATAAAGGGTCCTTATATCTATCCGGCGTCTCATCTCGGCGCGGACTGGGAGAGAGACGGTACGATTGTATGATAGCTCGTGGTGGCGAGTCTTTATTATTTATGACAAGCTAGCTTATATGGGTTATGGGTGGGTGTTCTAGAACCATTACCGGAAGGACGGGCATATCGCTAGATTGTATCATCGTACGCGTCCTCTCAATGATCCTCGGGATGTTGGGGAGGACGTGGGACGAACGAAGGGCAGCACGTGGCCGGCCAGTGCCACGCATTGGACCCAAATGATTAGACATGACACTCTTGTCCCGAGCAGCTTCGGAGACTTCTATTTGCGCACTTATGCAGGTTGTGCGACTAGATACGGCATCTGTGCCACCCGGTCCAGAATTCGTTGCTCTCTCATTGGACCTACATTGTGCATTTGGCTTTTATGTTGCAACCTATGAATTCTGTAATGACCTGAAAGCAAAGATTTCGACAGCACGTAGATACTTTGTTGTCGTTGCGATGTCTATAACTCTTCCATTCTATGATGCCTGAAGCTTAGGGAACGAACTGCTCGAGAACTGCCGATTGTGGGGTAGATAAGCTTAGCGAAGGAAGGAAGGGATCTGCGGGGAAAAAAAGGTGGGTTTGGCACGGCTGCTATCTACTACTACTAAGCTTTAACTGGAGTCCACTTGAGTTAGTCGGCCATGGCTGGACTATTGCTTTTAAAAATACCTACCCTCTACTACTGCTTACTCTCTACTCCTTCTAGACTAGGTCTGTAATTCCGGAACAGGGAATGTGCAGACAGGATGGAGCTTACAGCCGGCATGTTCTCCTCCATTCCTCCTAAACTTTCTCCCTCTCGGCATGTTACATCCGTCCAAACTGGTATCATCTTTGGTTCCAACCCAGATAAAGCCATCATCATGGCCTCAGACTATACAGATAGGATAGCCGGATGAAACCTTCGAGTGGCATAGTCGGGAGGCACCATGGATCGGACAATCATGCTAAGCAATGCCCAGCCTGTCAGGCTATCTGACCTGCGGTTTAGGCCGAAATGGGTAGGATGTATCCGACCCGTCCCAATTCCTCGCTAATGTAAGGCCTCCCGAGTCAATGAGTTAATTGGTCCTCCTCCACTGCCGTGTTCATCACAGCGGCCTGTATAGGCGATTGGTTAGCTTGGATGGATCGTCAGCCGCCATCAAAGCAGTCCGTATGCACTATCAATCTTGTCTGGCACCCCTGCTTGCCCCTCTTGTGCGGTGTCTTTTCTTCTTCTTCCTGCTCCCCTCTGCGTGGCCAATTGTCGTGGTCCTCTCCTTGAAATAGTGTCTCTGCACCTTATCTTGTCTGTTTACGCGCTCTCCTTGACATACATCCCTTGCTTCTCGATTATTGTTATTGCACCTTATATCTGTCGAGAGTACACCCTTGTCAACTGGAGTGATTTGGTCACAACATTTCTCCCCCATCGTGTCGCAATCTAGCGCAGAGACACAGAAGCATACAACAGTATCCATATTTCCGCCCCACCTGTCACAATGGGGTCATCCGAAGGTACAGTTCATATGAATCGAGGTCTCACGAAGACAATAGTGACCTCAGATTGCGTGAACAGAGTCAACAGATCGCTCTCCTCAACCCGAACCCGGATTCAAACCCGAGGGCCACATTGAAGCGCTCACAACAGATCTTCCTCCTCTCACCACAACCACGGAGCGCCGGCTCATGGCCAAGATTGACTGGCACATCGTCCCGTGTCTCTGCGTCCTGTATCTGCTTGCTTTCCTGGATCGGTATATGCCTCTGCTGCCTTGGTAATGGGAAATATTTTCTAATAACGGCTTGTGCCTGGTATAGTGTCAACATCAGCAATGCGGCCGTACTCGGGCTTGAAACGGATCTTAACATTGCTACTGGAACGAAGTACAATACCGCACTCACTATATTCTTTGTGCCCTACGTTATATTCGAGATTCCATCCAATATCTTGCTGAAGAAGTTGAAACCTCATGTATGGTGTATGTATCCCACGTCTATGAGCACCGTTGTGCACCGCTTATAGGGTTGCTGAATGATGACAGTGTCTTTTTGTATGTTCGGGTTCGGCCTCGTCATGATATGTCAGGGCTTAGTCTCAAACTGGGGTGGACTGATGACTACACGCTGGTTTTTAGGTATGAAGGCAATCAAATTCACCGACATAGAACTAATAGAGACGCAGGAATGTTTGAAACGGGCATGTTCCCCGGATGTGAGTGGTCTTTTTCCCCAGCTCGAAGGGCCCTTTCGCTAACAGAGTGCATCCAAGGCTTCTATCTTTTGGGCATGTGGTATAAGCGCAGCGAGGCACAGAAGCGCTTTAGTTTCTTCTTCAGCTCGACCACATTGGCGGGCGCCTTCGGCGGTCTGCTTGCCAGCGGTCTAGGGAAGATGGCCGGACTCCGAGGCTACGGGGGCTGGCGTTGGGTTTTCATCATTGAGGGAGTTATCACTTGCGTGGTTGCCATTGTCTGGTTCTTTATAATCCCGGGGTTCCCAGAGGATGTCAAGTGGCTTAATGAGGAAGAGCGAACGTATATCCAGGCTAAGCTGGCTCGTGATGCAGGGAAAGCTGGGCATAATGCTCGTATGGGTTGGCGCGATGTGTTGGCTGTGTTCAAGGACTGTAAGTACATGCGAGGACCAGAAGGCGCCACTACATTCCTGCATATGCTGACTGAATAATAGACAAGATCTTCCTTGGCGGGTTTATGTATTTCGGGCAGGTTGTCACAGCATATGGTAAGTTTGATTTCCGTTTTAATCCGTGAGTATCAGGAAAGTAGTATATGCTAACAAGCTCAGGATATGCTTTTTTCGCCCCGACTATTATCAAAACCTATGGCTACGGAAGTATGTATATGTTACCACTGAATACGCTGTATACTGAGCTTTTGTACCAGCCATCCAAACCCAACTGTACTCGATCCCACCATGGGCAGCTGCGTTTGCATTCTCAATGGTAATTGCAACGTTTTCGGATCTAACCAGACACCGACTGGCTTTCACTTTGATTCCTACAGCAATTGCTATGGCTGGATTTGGAATACTATTGAATGTACACGGAGAGGCTCATCGACACGTCCAATACGGCGCGCTTTTCATGGTGACCTGTGGCTGCTATAGTGCAATGCCAGTTATTGTATGTTGGTTTGCTATGAACCTAGGGGGTCATCGCAGGCGCAGCGTGGGCACGGCATGGCAGGTTGGGTTCGGGAACAGTAAGTGACGTCGACACAAAAGCATAAAGCGATGACGCTGCTGACATGGGTTATCTACCAGCGGGAGGTATCATCTCCACATATGCATTCCTAGCCAAAGATGCGCCTGAGTATCGGAATGGTTATATTATCAGTCTGTCCTTCATCTGCTTTTCCGCGGCCTGCTGCATTGGATACTTTGTGGCTCTCTGGGCGGAGAACAAGCGACGAGACCGGGTTATGGCCAATGGCGCCCCCGCGGAGCTGCGAGAAGATGAAGAAGAGGTCCAGGGAGATCTGGCGGTGACCTACCGTTACGGCTATTAAGCAATTTTCCCAATGCAGCTGGAGGATCTTATCTTTAATTCTAGCGGACATCTACATTCTACATAGAGCACGATGTTATTCATAGTTATACCGTAGTCGGTAGGGCTAGCTAGGGCTCTCCTTGATAAGACACACGAACAGGTGAAACGAGAATAATGAATCTAAATGCCATTGGAAGCATCCATAACAACCGAGTCCTTTTTTCTCTCAATGGTAATGGGTTCCCACCGCATGCCACGGTACTGAAGGTACACGCACCAGGAGGGTTGATGTCACGGGCAAGGCCCAAAGCGGTAATGCCAGTCTCGGTAAAGCAGTGGATGACAATCAGCGAGCCAATCAGCGCCGGCGCAACACTAGCGAGCCCTTAGCGGCATTGCATGCTGAGTCAGCCACGGCGCACACAAGAAGCTCAACCGCGGCCGCTCTCCATCATTCTTGCAACCATCTCTTCATCCTCGCAGAAGTGTGAGTACCCCCTCCCAGCCTGCACTGGTTGCAGCGCTTTGTCGTCCAGCTGGGCCAACAGTGACTGACTGACTGGTATCAGTTTCGAATTCTCTTCGAAGATGAGAGCCAAGTGGAGAAAGAAGCGCGTCCGTCGCCTCAAGCGCAAGAGAAGAAAGATGAGAGCTAGATCGTGAGTGCTATCCACAAAGCAATGAAGCAAATCAACGCAAACCGGCAATCAACTAACCAGTTCCGCAGCAAATAAATGACTCGCCCACTCCATCTCAGCTCTTCATGTGAACGCTCAGTTTGAACGCTAAACATGACAATTGCGACGACGTCACGATGATGATTCCAGTTATGATCGTTACGTGGTTCGGTATCTCAATCGAGGCCTGTCTGGTCTGCCACAACATTCTCGGTGCAATCGACTTCGGAGCCCGCCGTTCATCTACACATCCAATCCCTCGGGCTCGTTATAACGTTTTCGATCTTCTCTTGATTTCCTTTTGATCCAGACAGTGGGGGTGCGAGTGCCGCATCTTTTCCTTCGGAGGTACGAATGTGTTTGGTGGGGTTGGAAGGCATGGTGGAAGAGTCGAATGGTCTTTCTGTATTCCTGTACTATCTTACTCTTTGCCATTGCCGATGAGCTTTGCGTGGGGACTGGTCAATTTCTCGTGTCCTGGGTTCTATTGGGGAAATCCGATGGAATTCCGGGCCATGGAGAGGTCATGAGAATTTATTCCAAATACCAAAAAGTTTACGACGCACATGATGTTCCTTGTAAATCTTCAAAAACCACAGTAGCATGACTTTGTAGAAAATGATTAAAATCATAATATCCCACTTATCAATCGGGCTATAATGATAGGGCCATATTGGACTAAGAAGATTGTGTGCGCATGAAGGCTACCTGCCCGCCTGGAGTCTTCTCCGCCTTCCGCTCACAGCCCGCCTGACCGCCTTCAACTTTTTTTCGTGGAATTTTCCCTCCACCTGCCCGATAATCTCCCTACCAGTCAATTCTCTCTCCGCGGCGTCGCATTTCCCTTCAATTCCTTATCCAGACATAATGCCGTCCGATAAGGTTGAAAAGAAGCGCAAGCGCGCCTCCGATCGCCATGAAAGGCCTAGCAAGAAGCCCGCGCTCGAGCTGCAAGATCTGCCTCCGCTGGCCTCCAGCGTCGTGGAGGATGATAGCGAACTAGCTCCGGTGATCAGTATGCTGCACCTTTTTTACACATTGCCTCACTGCCCTCATGGTACGGTCATATGGTATGGGAATAATCTAATATAATGCACTTCAGTCACTACTCCCGGTCTCAACGCTCCGCGCAATCTCCGCCTCAACCCATACCTCAAGACCCGCAGCAAAACCTCCTCCTCGTCGTCACGGAACAAGGGCATCGTCTCGTCCGAATTGCTGCTTCAGTCCTCCGAGCACCCCAAGCTGGACTTCGTGGGTCGCGAGGCCGAGGAGGATGCCGACTCCCAGCTCAAGCACTATGTCGCGGTCGTGGACCCGGAGAACAAAACCTGGCAGTTCATCGAAGTGCGGAAGATGACCCTGCGTGGCGCCGTTCGCAAGATGAGAGCAATTGACGAAGAGTCAGAGGAGGAGAGTGAAGAGGAAGAATTGGTTCGCTCAATTCTGTCCCTCCATGGTCTACACCGGACATTGGCTGACCATCCAAATCTTACTAGAAAACCATGCGCGCTCAAAGAACAGAACTCACCAACACCTTCGGTACCAAACAATCTCGCAAGGCCGCTCAATCGCTTGCCGAAAACGCTCAGCTCTCCAACGTGCCCTCAGGCGCTGCCTCCGCCGCCGAAACCGCCATCCTGGGCGCCATGCCCGCCGACGCAGCCACAGATATCGCCTCCAAGGCTGCCGCCCTGCAAGCGCAGGTTCAAGCCGCGAAGCCTCTGCCCCAGGCCAACCTGGACGCTGCACACCCGTCAGATGTCTACCCGCTTGACGTCCTCGTCCCCAACGGCCTGGCCACCCTGCGCCAACTCCCCAACGTCAAAGAATGGCAAGACAGCGTTAACTCCGGCGCCGCCGTCAATACCACCTCGCGGTACGTCTCCCGCCGCGTCGAAGCCGTCGCCCTCTCCGGCAACACCACCCACCTCCAGATCCTCCGCTTCATCCTCCTCCTCCTGGAACTCGCCCGCGGTCTTCGTCCTGGCCGCGACAAGTCCGCCGGTCCCGGCAGCAAGCGTCTCCCTCCCCGCGAAGACCTCCGCCGCATCCTCTCCGGTGGAACAATCAGCGAGAACTCCGCCAGCGGCGACCAGATCGCGGACCCCGTCATCGACGCCGTGCGCCGCAAATTCGCGCCCCAGGGTGCTTCCCTCTCCAAGAACGACATCACCTTCCTCCACACGACCATCTGCGCCCTCTCGCTGCACATCCCGCCCCAACCTTCTAAGGACGGTGGTAACAGCTCCGCCGGCGGAAACGCCCCCAACGAGCTGGCTACCGATCCCTCGGATCTCCGTGATGATCTGCGCCTCGATAACGTGGCGATCACGCAGTATTTCCGCGAGTTGGGTTGCCGCGTTGACAAGCCCCGCGAGTCGGAGTTTGCTAAATGGGGTATTAAGGGTGGTAAGGCCGAGGCTGCGGCTAGACGGGTTGCTAGGTTGAAGATTCCCGTTGAGTTCCCGAAGGTTAGTCGTGGTGGTGGACGGAGGTAGTGGACTTGATGGAAAGAGGGTTTGTTTGGGTGTGATTGATTGATTGATTGTAAGTTAGCATTATATTTCTCTGTATGTATGGATGGATTGGCAAAAGAACGTCGTTTTTTTCTTATCTTCTCATTGCTCTGATTGGTTAGCTGAACCAATTTGATTTGGCCAAGCTTGCAGTATTTCACTCGTAGATCAATCAATAATCATTTCTCCCTGGTGTCTCCTAGTAGACATTACTGGTACTAACCTACTCAACGTACATCTGATGTCTGACGGACTCAATTGTGTAGTAGTAAAAAACAAATATACTAGTGTTCCAGCATGACATAATATGTTAGGTGATATATACCTTCACTTCTCAATCACCAAGTATATTTAGTAGTAAAGATTCAGGACTACCAACTCAACCCCACTATAGTAGTAAAAAGCCATAACTTAAGTAACAGCGATGAAAGTGAAAGACTACTTAACAACTTGAGTACGACTAGTAGTACTACCTTCAATGGTAATAAATAGTCTCTGCAACTCAATTAGAATATCCGGACTGTAGTACTAGTCATTGTGTGTAAAATATTTTCATCTACACTACGAAGAAGTTACTCAAGTCACGACCATTACTATGCATCCAAGGTCCATAGTTCATTGCACTTTTTATAAGTTCTTTTTTCTTTTCTTCCTTTTCTCTTCATACATTACTGATTTATGCACCTACTTCTACTTATTAACCATGATATAATAGATATTTCTCGTATTGCTACCACACTACGTAGTAGTAGTAGTAGTAGTCGTAGTAGTAGTCGTAGTAGTAGTCGTAGTAGTAGTCGTAGTAGTAGTCGTAGTAGTAGTCGTAGTAGTAGTCGTAGTAGTAGTCGTAGTCGTAGTAGTAAAACCTGATATTACTTCTACAAATCAACTACCCAATAACCCATTCTCCCTCTTCAATAATATATTAACTATTCAGTAGTAAGATTTCAGTAAAAACCTCTTAATAAATAAGTCATGTGGTACTTATACTATACTTCTGCTGAAGTGGATATGATATCATCGAGTGTGATGACGATATGAACTCCAACCCATATTAAATCAGTAGGGGGTGTTCTGAAGTAGTAGCCTTATTCGGATCTCCATCTTCCCCATGAAGCTGGACGGTCAGTTGTAGGGATTTTAGAGGAAGCTCTATGTTATCATTGAAGCTGGCCAAGTCTTTGAAGGTCCATTATTTACAGGAATACTGCATGACATTGACGGCCGTGCTGGTTGGTAACTACTATGTACATTGACGGCTGTGATATTGAATACCCTCTTTTCTACACTGGTATAGTTGTCTACAATGGGAAAAGGCAAGGTACATACTACATCTACGATATACTAGGAAGCATAACTGCAGCATAATGAGGAATAGACATGATCATTCGATCTAGAACCCAAAATCATCGGTAACGACTGGCCGGTTCCATGTGTCTTTATCCACCTTCATATTTCATATTATAGTAGGCAAATGTCCAGAGTCTGGTCATATGATCATGCTGGGGGTTTAATCCGCCAGCAGAGGGAGAATAGTAATAACAACGATCAACTGTGCTGGATGTGATAACATCCAGACCACCACCTTATTAGCCTAAACCGGATAGGCTTAAGCGGCAGCCACTCCCACAGGGATCGAGGCAGCGGCAGGGCGCACCGGAATGGCGGTCTGCATGCGGGAAGCGGCCTGGGAGAGCGCCTCGGCAGCGGCAGTCTGGAACTCCCGCGTCACGGCAGCTTCGACGGTCTCGCTAGGCTGCAAGCCCAGCTGCGCGTCCTCCCAGATGGGCTGGTTGGCGGCCTCGGCACCCTCGACGCCCACGCCGACGAAACCACCCTGGGCCTCCCAGTCACTAGCGCGCTTGATGCCCAGGTCGTTCCAGACGGTCTGCAGAGCCTGCACCAGGTGGTCCCGGTGCTCCTTGACGTGGCCGGGGGTGGGGGTGATGCGGAGACGCTCCTCGCCGCGAGGCACGGTGGGGTAGTTGATGGCCTGCACGTAGATGCCGTGCTCCTCGAGCAGCTTGTCCGAGGCCTGCTTGGCCACCTCGGCATCACCAACGAGGAGAGGGATGATGTGGGATGGGTTGGGAATCACCGGGATGTCCAGCTCCTTGAGTGATTCCTTGACTGCGCGGGTGTGCAACTGCTGCAGGACGCGGTCGCGCTGGTGCTGCGCCTGGTATTTGATGGCGGTGTCCGCTCCAGCCATGGTAGCCGGGGGCAGCGAAGTTGTGAAGATGAAGCCGGGGGCGAGAGAGCGGATGGTGTCCACCATTGCCGCCGATCCGGCAATGTAGCCACCAACGCAACCATACGCCTTGCCGAGAGTACCGGTGATAATGTCGATACGGTCCATGACGGTTCCCTTGGTATCACGAGGGTTGGCCGTATCCTGAGAAGCGTAGATGTCGTAGTCGAGGTGCTCAGCCACACCCGCACCGTGAGGTCCGTACATACCCACGGCATGAACTTCGTCGAGGAAGGTGATGGCACCGTACTTGTCGGCCAGATCACAGATCTGTTCGATCGGAGCAATGGAACCGCACATACTGTAGACGGACTCGAAAGCGATAATCTTGGGGACGTTCAAAGGAAGAGATGCAAGTTTGGTTTCCAGATCGACCAAGTCGTTGTGCTTGAAAACCATCTTCTTGGCTCCAGAGTGACGGATACCCTGGATCATAGAGGCGTGGTTGAGGCTGTCGGACAAGATGACACAGTCGGGCATCTTACTGCCCAGCGTCGCCAGAGTCGCATCGTTGGCCACAAAGCAGGAGCTGAAGACCAGCGCAGCCTCTTTGTTGTGGAGTTTGGCCAAAGTGCCTTCGAGAGCAACGGCGTGCTGGTTGTGACCGGAAATGTTGCGAGTACCTCCGGCACCGGCTCCGTAGTTGTCCAGGGTCTGGTGCATAGATTTCAGCACCTCGGGGTTACGACCCATACCGAGGTAATCGTTGGAGCACCACACGGTCACCCTCTCTTCAGGAGAAGCGGTGTGGGCACGGGGAAACTCCTTGGCCAGGCGATTGATGTTGTTGAAGTAGCGGTACGATTTGTCCTTGTGTTTCTTCTCAAGCTCGCCCTGGTAGAATGCATTGTAGTTGAAGGGCGTGGCGTTGGGGGCATGGGGACGAGGGCCGGGCACGGTAGCGGCGGACGGTTCGAATTGCTGCTTGGTGATGCCGGAAAGACCGGGGTGAGCTGGGACAATGCCGTTAGCATATAAATGGGTGTTGAAGCTGTAGGAAGGAAATAAGAAAAAGTACTAACCTCTCTGTGACTCCTTGTAGACATTCGGGGTCACATCAGCGCCATTGCCAGCGGTCGAATGCAACGCTCTCTTGCCGACAGTGGGCCGGAATTGCTTGGGGTTCAGGCCCGCCACACCGGCAGTATAAGAGGTGAACCGCTTGGTGTGAGCCAGGCGAGCACTCTGCACCGCCAGAGCCTTGCTCATCACTGGGCAGCGACGAGCCAGGACCTGGAGGTTGGACATGGTGCCTCCGCCAGGGCTGATGCTGGGGCGGGTCGCGGTCGACAGTGAGCGCAAAGTGGTCGGGGAAGTGCGCTTGAGGAACGGGCACATGGCCCGGGACTGCTGGAGAAGCGACTCCATGGAGACTCGAATGAGCGGGCAGACAATTCGAGATGGACAGTGCAAGCCGAAGGGATGAGATAGCCCCTAATTGACGATCAGGGAGCTGTGGAGGAATGGGGAGAAGAAGAAGAAGAGGAGGGTAGTGAAGAAGAGAAGAAGGGAAAAGGAAGAAGAACACGACAGGATATCTTGGAACTTTCAAGATTTGGGAGGGGAAAAATTACTGACCTCCCGATTACGGGACTCCATGACCGGTAATGAATGTAATTTTAGGTATGACTCGCCGAGGCTGACGATCGAGGCGCCGCTGATTGGCTGCTCGGCAGGCCGGCATGGGGGGAGAGCTTGCTGAGTAAGACGAACGGGCCACTCACGGCGCACATCAGGCCACCCGGTCTTTGCTCGGCAGGAAAGTTGGTGAAACCCTGGGATCGGACAGGTAATCAGGGTGTGACTCCTTGAAGTATACATCTGTCTCTTACTGCATTGTCTTCTGCATTATCCACTGCATGTTGGGATGCGGAGATGCTCGTTGGCGTATGCCATCCGATGAATCGGGCAATGTACTCTGTACAGGAAATAATACTACATAATACGTGTTGGGGACGATCGTTACAGCGCACGGGGGCAAAAAGTGCGGAGAAGACCGATCTAGTAATCTACTACTGCAGTCACCGGGATTACTCATCCCCTCAAGGCCCAGAACCACATGCCATCAATAATCAAACCCCGAGCGAAAGAAGGAACTTGCAGAAATAAGATGAAGTTGAAAAATGTATCCCAGTTCCAAATCCAATCACATGTAGAACAATACAAACATACCACATCCATCCGTCTATCCGTCGTCTGTTTCCCTCCTCGCTGCTGCTTTTTTGGATGCCTCATAATGACTAAGCTCATGTCCATCCGTCTCATACATTACCGCAATAGTCTGCTCATCACCACACTGCCGCCCTAACCTAATGTCTCGTGTATCAAAATGCTCCTTGTTAATACATGACCTCGGATAACATAGCCCGAAGCCGAGGAAAGAAGTGAAATGAAGAAAAGGTGTTCGAATCGCAAAATAAATAAAAAGGAAAATGGTAAGGATGGAAGAACCTTTAAGAAACTTGGGCATAAACAGGAAAGACAAGAGGGAATGTTATCCAAACGCCGCCAATCCGTCAAATCGTATGGGTAAAACGAGAGAATGAAAGTGCGAATGTCTGATCGGATCAGCTGGGACCCAGGCCTCCATCGCCGTCAATGAGACGCAGTCGCTCCTTAGTTGTCTTGGCGCGCTTGGATGTTCCCTTGCCCGATCCGCGTCCACGTCCACGCTTGGGTGCCGGTGTGGACGAGGGCGTGCCCACGTTCTCTGCGGTCGACACAGGAGTTGCTGCCCCGGATGGTTTGGCACTGGCATCGTCAAAGTTACCCTCGCCTAGGAAAGTTAGAATTCATCTCAAAGCTATACGTAAAGTGCGTAGGGAAAGGCATACCTTCGTGGTACATATCATCCAGCGTAATGTCCTTCTTTCTCTTCTGAGCTGCCTTCTTTCCTCCGCCTTTGCCCGCACCGAACACTTCGCCGCGGTCCAGAGCCTCCTTCTCCTTCTGCTCAATGAGCTCGGCTTGCTCATCGTCGGCCAACCACATGGCAATATCTTTCGTGCGGCTCTCCCGGTTGCGCGTGTTGAAGTCCACTCCTCCAGCCGCGCCACCTGTGATGACAACCCGCTGGACCTCTTCCTTCTGCAGGGCACGCTTACGAATCCGCTCTTCGATGGTACCCCGGGTAATCAGTCGATACACCGTAACCTGCCGTGTCTGACCAAGACGGTGGGCACGGTCCATGGCCTGAGAGTCAATAGTCGGGTTCCAATCCGAATCGTAGAAGATGACGGTATCGGCCGCAGTCAAGTTGATACCCAGACCACCAGCACGAGTGGACAGCAGGAAGACGAAAATTTCAGGGCGCTGTTGGAAGTCAGCCACGGTGTCGCGGCGATCCTCCAATTTGGTGCTTCCATCCAAGCGGCAGTACTTGTAATTGCGGTAAGTCAAGTACTCCTCCATCAGGTCGATCATGCGGGTCATTTGGAAGTACAGCAGTACACGGTGACCGCCTGCCTTGAGCTCGCGAAGCAATTCATCCAGCTTAGCCAATTTACCAGAATCGGTGACAAACCGGCGCATGGATGGCACTTCAATGTGCGTGTAACGGCCCTTGACGGAAATCGGCGCCGGAAGCATGGGGCCAAGCGAGTACGGGGTAGGGTCCACCTTCTTCTCGATAATCTGTTCATCGACCTGTCTTGAAGGCGGGCTATACAGTGCGTGTCGAACGGAGACATTGAAGAGGGTGTCCTTTGCTTCAATCGAGGGGACATGGCTCGAGGAAACCACAGAGATCGGAGGTGCCGATGCGGCAGGACTGACGCAGGGCTCAATGACGTTAAGGCCTTCCCGCTCGTACGTAGATTGCGAGACGGTCATCAAGTCCCGCATTATTCCCTCTGCGGCAACTTCATTGACGGCGTGCTTATCATTGCGATCGACGATGTTGAACAGTGTATGCGGAAGGGCGGACTCTGCCAGCTCCTTGTCGTCATCGTAGGCAACGTTTAGCCGGGATAACCTGTTAACCTGACCCCGACGGCGGACTGCTCGCTCGAAGACTCCGAGGTGCGATTGCTCGTACGCTTCACCAAGTGATGTATCAACAAAACGCAGGAAAGAGAACGCTCCGTCGTCCTGAATGCTTTGCTTCATATTCTCCGGGGTAAAGATATTCATCAAGTGGTTCAGGTATCGTCCGCGGAACCCGGCGTGAGGATTTTCAGCGCCCGCAATGTCGACACGACCGCCTGCACCGCAAAGAAGGCGTGGCATGGGGTATTCAATCAGATTGCGGGTTGAGTACCTGACATCGACGTTGCTGCCTTCCCGAACAAACGACGCCGTCTCGGCAAAGTAGGCGGTAGAGAAGGGAGACTTTGTTTCGGCACGCTCGAACAGGTCAGGGTGGTTACAGACCTTACGGAACTGCATGACCAAATTCATCAGGGTCGTACTGTCGGCCTCGTCACCGACGGCAGCCTTTTCGATAAGATCCATGATGCTGACGCGGTTCCGTAGATTGGTATAATAGGCCCGCTGGCGATAGGTAAGATCACAGAAAATGTCCTTTTCGACCTTATCTCCAAGCTCCTGCTGGACGTGCTTCTTCACACGACGCAGCATGAAAGGTTTCAAGATCATGTGTAGACGCCTCAGCTGATCCTCGTTGAGTTTCGTGTTACTCTGAGCATGAGATTCAATATCCTTAGAGAACCATTCGCTGAACTCGTCATGAGAATCAAACAATGTCGGCATGATAAAGTGAAGAAGGGCCCACAGCTCCTGCATATTGTTCTGAATCGGTGTACCGGTCAGAAGGAGACGGTTACGGCAGTGGAATCCAAGCAAGTTCTTCCATCGTGAACTCTGCGAGGACTTGATGGCCTGAGCTTCGTCCAGAATCATGTACTGCCATTTCACCTTCTGGAAGTACTGAGCATCAAGCACGACGAGCTGATACGACGTCACCAGCACGTGGAACTCCGATTCCTTGGTGTAGGTGATATGCTTGCGGTCCCAGAACTTGCGGAGAATCTTACGATCCTTGGCAGAACCCCAGTAGGGAAGCACCTTGATATCCGGCACAAACTTGGTGATTTCCTGCTGCCAGTTGTGTAGGGTTGAAGCGGGCGCAATGACCAAAAACGGACCCCAGATATTGTGTACCTCGGCGAGATAAGCCATGACGGAGATGGATTGGATGGTCTTTCCCAGACCCATCTCGTCGGCTAGGATACCGTTGATGCCTTGCTCGTACAAGTTGACCAGCCAGTTCAGACCCTTCAGTTGGTACTCCTTGAGCTTAGCGGTAAGCATGTTGGGCTGCGAGATCTCGATATCTCCCAAACTTGTCGGGTTTTGGAAGTTCAGTTCGCCCTCATCCAAGGCATCCATCTGGTCCTGATTAGAGTTGAAGGCGCGTGCTCGATCCTGCGCTTCCTGAACAGCATTCTGGGCGTTAGCCATGGCGGCCTGCCGCAAGGCGGTCTCGTCTTCGGCATCAAAGTCAAGATCCTCAAAGTTCGTAACTTTAGTGCCTGCATCAGCAACACTGGAGGGCATGTCGATAGTATGATCCTGACCCTTGCCGGGCTGGACGGTCTCACCCGTCGTTTCCACGGCTGTGTCCCCGGCAGCATCTTCTGCGCCCTTGATTTTTCGGCCAATGAAGTGAGAATACAGTTCGGTTTGGGAGATGAGGAAGTTAAGCTTGCGCCTTTGACGGTTGGCTTCGCGTTCTGCTTCCGCCTTCTTAGCAGACTCAATCTCTTGCTTCTCCGCAAGACGGCGAAGATCACGCTCCTCTCGTTCGTTACGCTTCCAAAAGGACATCATCTCACGCATGGTGCGCTTGGCGCGGGCTTGAGTATCCTTCATACTCTTGTTTGTGCGTTCCTGCCACTTGCGGGACTGCTTGCTAGCCAGCTGAGCTGTCTTGCGTAGATTCTCCTGACGCGTGCTGAGGGACAAGGCCTTGATGCGGTAGACTTTGGGAATGTCTTTCCGAGCAATGTCACGCCAGATCTGCTCATAAATCTGGTTATAGCCTTTAGTCTCGTAGGCGGACAAGGGCGTTGGCGTGGGCTCCTTGGAGCGGCCACCTTTAACCTCCTTCTTGAGAGACTCCTTTCGGGGGTCCTCCTTAGGTGCGATAGGCAGAGGTTCGTCATTCTCCATAGCGGCAAAAGCAGCCTCTGCAGCGTCCTTTTCGGCCTGCTTTTGCTCTTTCGACTTCTTTGGCCGGGTGACCGGTCCACCGCGACCGGACTTACGTCTCGACGGCGAGCCCCGGCCAATGTGGAAGGAGCTGGTAGTGCCGCCTTCGAGATTGGGGGCCAATGGAGTGACCTCGCTGATCTCCTCTGGGGCAGTGATCCCCTCGAGAGCTCTCTTGGTGGTCTTGATCTTCCTTTGCGCCCGTTCAGCTTCACGAAGGAACTTGGCCTTCTCCGCAGAATCCTGAGCTTCGTGCGCCTTGGCCTCTGCTTCCTTCTTCTTTTGCATCTCCATGCGCACCGTGTTCTCACGACGCCGCTTGCGTTGCATGTCCTTCTTGCGCTCCTTTTCATCCTGAATTTCTTTCGCCTGGACTTCAGCAACGACGGATGCTTCGTTTGCATATCGGAATCGGTCCATGCCGGCAGTCGCTTGTTTCTCGAGGGACTTGCTGAGCTTGACAAGGAAGTCATTTCGGCGGCGCTAGAAGCCGTGTCAGTAAATCCAGAAGATTTTGCATATGATGTAGAAGTCATTGCGTTACCTTGCGTCTCAGGATTTCGGCCTGTTCAGTAGCAAAGGCACGTTTCTTGCCCTTGGCGCGATATTCCTCCCGGAACCGGTCGTAACCAGGGGCTTCCACATCGCTCTTGTCCGCTTCGGCCATATCAGCCAACGCCTTGTTGAGGGCTTCTGTCTCCCGTTCAGTCATCGCTTGCCGAGATCCGGCACCACGAGGCTGAGCGAGCGTTTTTGAAGACCCAGAGACGCCGTTGGCCACATTGGAGGCCCGTGAGTCGGCAGTCTTTTGCTCAGTTTCCGGTGGATTGCGACGGCGTTTCTCCGTGGTGGGCTTCTTCTCCAGTCTCGGTAGAGAGGCGGTGAGAGGCGGTGCCCGGTCTTTGGACTTTTGTGACGGAGCAGCTGAAGCTACGGGCGGAGGACTGAGACTGGGTTGGGCTGTTGCTGCGGGCGCTAGGGGAGTTGGGGTAGCCTCGGCAGAAGATTGTCTCGGGGGAGGAGCGCGCTCCTCAGTCGGTCCGGAGAGAATGCTGGCAAAAGACATGGGATCTGCTGCCCTCGTCGGTTTCTAGACGTAGCAGAGCATCACAGCGTCAGTCAATGTGTAGGGAAATGTGGCCGTGACTAACAAGGGGATAACATACCACGTCCTTGGGGGGTGAAGACGCTCGTGGCTCGCGCACCACAGAGGAGGATGGATAACCCATAACACCGTGAGTGCCCATGGAAAACTGGGAATCTGTCTCCTTCTTGGGTGAAGTTTGGGGATGACTATCGGGCCGACCAGCGGGATGGGCGTGGGACGGTGTTGAGTGACCGTAGGGAGATGCGCCGTTGCCTGACAAGACGGCGCCAGGATAGGGCCGCGGAAGAGCAAACTGTGGGTTTCCAGCCGAAGAATGTGCCTGGTATTGCGACGGCGGTTCCGAGGGATGAGATGACGGCGGCGCGGCGCCGTTCAATGGCGGCAGAGTGCCTGGCAACGGGGAAGGCGCATGGGAAAAGTGAGGGCTCCTGGACGAGAAGGCAGGAGGCGTCTGGGGTGGATGTTGCTGGTATTGCTCATTGTTGGCGTAGTAAGGGCGGCTTTTAGTCGGGGGGGAATAAACCGGATAGCGAGACTGCTGCGTGGGAGATTGAGGATTATAAGGCGGAGCCCCCGTCATGGTGGCCGCGTGTGCCGGGGAACGCGGCGGGCGAGTGTTAGAAGATGGTGCCAGCAACAGGGACCGCGAAGGCGATGGGGTGGCTGGAGGAGGAAGGGGAGAAAACGTGTTCGGGGCGAACAAGGACCGTTATGAAGAACGAGGGCAGGCCATGCGCGAAGGGGGTTTCGAGAGGATTTATCTCAGGAAGATCTCGATGGGGGGGCGATCACGCGTCGGGTTGGTTGCCGCAGCTGGTCCCAGCTATCTGCGGAAGGAATTAATTCTGAGAGGCCTAAATGGGGAGAAGTGGAGAAGGAAGGCTGGAGGTTATTGGGAGGAAGGATGGCGATGATATGAAGGCAGGAGATGATGGGGGGAAGATGGAAGAAAAAAGACAGGGAAGAGATGAGGTGGAAAAGGGAGGATCGCCTCACCGGATTGACAGGAATCTTCGGAGGGCTCCAAAGTGCTTGTGGTGAGCGAGCCAACAAACCCTCCACGGGTCAACCGTTCCGGACAGGATGCGACAAGAAACACAGGCCCAGCCAAGCCGTGAATGGGCTACCCGATCGGGGAATGGTCCTGGGCCGGCAGAGAACGAACGCTACTTGAGAAACCCAGCAATGTTCGTAACGGAGACGCTCAAGATGAATTGATGGAGAATTGGGATTGGGATTGAGATTGAAATGGGGGAGGGAGTGAGGTGGATGTGGATGTGGATGTAAATGTGAAAGATGGGGGAGGTGAGCAGCAGGTAAGGGGAAAGAAGAGTGGAGGATGATGATCTCAGTTCAGTTCAGGTCTGGTGTTGTAGTGTAGTGTAGTGTAGTGTATCGTACCTCAGTTTGAGAGATACCTTTCCTTCCTTAGCTAGACGTGGTGGTGGTGAATGGGGTCGTGCTCCGGGGAGGAGATGGCAGAATACATAGATGATGATGAGAAAAGATGGAAGTTCGAGATGGAGATTAGTCTCACTAGGGATTGGGATTGGGATGGATGGATGGATGGATGATGAAGAGGATGATGGCGATGGTTCCAGTATTTTTGATTTTTTTTTTGCGCTGCTGCTTCCCTTTCCCCCCCTTTGGGCCAACTTTCTCCCTCATTTTCCCTCATCTTGTCTCGTTCCTTCTTTCGTTTCTTTCTGCTTTCCCCATCCAATCCCGCACCTGCCCGTATGTATTGGTATTACCATTACAGAGTGTTATTGACCACTAGCCGTTGCCCAGATCACCACAGCTGTAGTTCGCAGCAACTCGATGCCTTCTACCAGCCTTCTCCTAGCCTTCTCCTGTCTAGGACATGGAATTTTCCCCGAATATTGGTGTTATTCTATACAAGGCAGACGATCATCTACACAACGGCTATTGCATACTTTTCTTCATCGAAAAGAAGTATAACACTACCTCCTCTATCTCCATCGATCTCTCCTGCATCTGGACCGGGGAGGCTCCGTTCCATGACCGAACTGTTAAGTTCGATACAGGTAATGACCGTCTCCAGACATCATCGCCTTTCGATCGGGAACGGAGAGAGCGACTGACTGTGACTGACGGACTCTCGGGTTTTTTTATGGAGATTACCGCCAACTCTGTCCCCCGGTTCTCCCATCATCCATCACACTCTCCAAAATCTCACAAAAACAGGACACTTCATCGTACACCTGATCATGGGGGGGGGTGGATGGTCGCGTGTGCTGCTGCCCCTCCAGGGGATTTTGACACGATTAGAAGCGCCTGCATCGGCTTACATTGTCCGGTGTACATGGACTAGGTAGACCCTACAGCCGTAGATAAGTCGAGTAACTACACCGGCGTCTGGCCATGTCCAGGATCCATCCATATTGTGTTCCCGGCATCTCGCGACTTCGGTTCAAGCATACATCATTTATTACTAACAAGCACGCTTGGAGATCGCAATACTTTGCCGTCTCAGCATTTCTGACAGAACTGAAGTTTAATAGCTATCTCTGCCACTTTCATGTTTCTAATTTCTCTAGAATGCCGACAGCTTCAATTGGCGGTTGAAACGCGGAGCGTGGCAATTACCTTATCCCGGGGGTGATAAGTAGCTAACCCCCATGTATCTTGCCGGAGCTACCGCCACCAAAGTTTAGTGCCACGCACAATGAGATCGTCTGGCATAGATATCCAATGACAACCCCAGAGTAGACGTTCTCGGGTTGGACTGCGGCTGATGTTTACATACTAACGCAACGCTTGTCCGAACGAGGAGTTGCACCAATAATCAGAAAGGTGCTTGTTCATAAAGGGAAGTTGACTCGTCTCTCCACCAAGGCATATGTCTATATGGATCCAAAACTATCTAGGTAGAAGGGCATGGGTGCTACTCTGTAGCTAAATATTCGCCTGGTAATGGTTTCTAATGCTACGAACCTTGCAAGAGTAGTTTTTGGTTGTACTTATAGAACCTACAATAAAAGCTTCTAGCCTCCCTATGATAGCTATTTTGCTCATAGTTGTACGACCCATGCCCATGTCAATGATCAGGGCTCAGCCGGCGCTGCAACGGGTGTACCTATGGCCCCGTCGCAACAAGTTCTTCTGCCCAAGCTGCAAGTACAGCATGTTCAAAACCAGAAGAAATAGAAATCACCTAATTTCTCTAAATTCGCAGTCTATTACTCAGTAGCGACTGAGGTGCTAGTCCAAGCATCAGATCTAACCTAGCAATCCCTGGCGTCCTGACACTCCATCCATGTTGGATCGGCTGATCGGGTTGTTTGCCCTATGATAATCATTGAACAGACTCTATAGATCTCTTTGTAAAAATAGTTAAAAAAAAAAAGCCTGACCAGACTCATTGCTAAGAACACCTCCGAAAAGGGTTAAGATGGGCTCGTAGTCAGGTGGGTGCCCCGGAGGTACTCGATCAGACCATCCACAACTGGGCTTTTTCAACCTTCCATCTGCCCTTTTGCCTGGAAGCTTCCGCACATTCAGTTCTCTGATGATACTGCCACTGATCATGATATTGTGTTCTTATCATGTCTGACCACCACTCACTGGGGATGCCATCGAAACACCGGAAAGTCGCGAAACCGGCTGAGATCTGCGAATCTCATGCAATCTAGCCGCAGCAATGCGAAGTTCATATGTGGAGAAACACCAACCAGGGACAGGATTCGGCAGAGCACGAAGAGTTTGAGGTATAGGAACTAATCCCAAGGTAACGCAGAGGCACTAAGGAACATTCTTTTTTTTTCGAACTTGGGGTGAGACAAAGGGATGGGATGCAACGATCCTGGGCGAGGCCCAAGGCAGAGCGATAAGAATGATCGGCCTAACGCTCTCGGATCGCCCGTCCAACCATGCGCCTTGAAATCTGCCGTATCTATCCGCAAACATGCTTCTGCTACCTGCCTTCATTGCTGCAATTTTCTGATAGAATTGAGTGCTATGGACTGGGGAAATCCCGAGAAGGAAGCCGTTCGTCCGAGTCATCCGCGCCTCTCTCGCTCTCAACCTTCCATCGGAATAATCAACCCCTCTTTGCCAACACAAACCAGATGCGGGCAAGATGGGGCTGGGCCGACTTAATGCGGTTCTAACAGCGGGGATCTGATAATAGAGGGTCTTTATAGCCAGCGTTCCTCGTGTACATCTGGGGTTTCAGGATGTTCATTTACCCCCCACGCATTTTCCGCGAATGGAAACTGCGGAGAGAGCTTGAGTTTCCATGACGTCTATCCCGTCTGCCATGTCCCGCCATCCCGACAGCCATGGATCGGGATACTCAACCACTTAAACCCAGTGAGACATTGATGCGGGATATTTCCCCAAGAGTGGCTTGGGGCATACATCTTTACTGGGCTGTCTGTGAATATCGTCTCTAACTGAATTGGGCATGCTGTAAGCCCGAGGATGGCCGCCCGGCCGAAAGACCAAGGGCCAGCTCTAGGCTCGGTGACTACTACTTCCTTGTCAGTGTCTCCTGGCATGAATCCCTGTCCTGCCACTGGATCCTCCTGGTTCGACGTCACTCGATCCCAATTCACTTCCGGCGATGGGCGGACATCACCCCACCTGTCCGTCATACCCGGCAACACCACCAGGAGGACACAACTACATAAAGCCACGAAGGTTTTCTCGCCCCTTGACCTGGGAGACCCTGATTATTCGTCTCACATAAACATCAATTGCTTTCATCAAGTTCACATCACATCGTATTTTTGTCATCTACTATCTCAACCGATTCCCCTGGTCTGCCAACATGACTATCCCGGAGAAGCAATGGGCCCAAGTGGTCGAGAAGAAAGGTGGACCCCTTGTTTACAAGGAGATCCCCGTTGCAAAGCCTGGCCCGGACGAGATTTTGGTCAAGATCCGGTATACCGGAGTTTGCCACACCGACTTGCACGCCATGAAGGGTGACTGGCCACTCGAGTTGAAGCTTCCTCTCGTGGGCGGACATGAAGGAGCTGGCGTGGTCGTCGCCACGGGTGAACTCGTCAATGAGTTTGAAGTTGGAGACCACGCTGGTATCAAATGGTTGAACGGATCCTGCTTGGCTTGTGAGTTCTGCAAGCAGGCCGACGAACCCCTCTGTCCTCACGCTTCGCTATCCGGCTACACCGTCGATGGTACGTTCCAGCAGTATGCCGTCGCCAAGGCCAGTCATGCGTCGAAGCTTCCCAAGGAAGTTCCCCTTGATGCTGTCGCTCCGATCCTCTGTGCCGGTATCACCGTCTACAAGGGATTGAAGGAGTCTGGAGCCCGTCCCGGCCAGACTGTCGCCATTGTCGGCGCCGGAGGTGGACTCGGATCGCTGGCTCTGCAGTACGCCAAGGCAATGGGACTTCGTACCATTTCTATCGACGGTGGCGATGAGAAGAGAGCCATGTGCGAGAAACTCGGATCGGAGGTAAGCCCCCTCCCCCCCCATTCCTCAATTCTCCCGATACCACCACATTTGGCTAATCACATACCCACAATGCAGGCATACATCGACTTCAAGACGTCCAAGGACGTGGTTGAGGACGTCAAGGCAGCCACTCCGGAAGGTCTGGGTGCTCATGCTGTGATCCTTCTCGCTGTGGCCGAAAAGCCCTTCCAGCAAGCAACCGAGTACGTTCGCTCCAAGGGTAGTGTCGTCGCTATCGGCCTGCCAGCCGGCGCGTTCCTTCGAGCCCCTGTCTTCAACACCGTTGTCCGTATGATCAACATTAAGGGAAGCTACGTTGGCAACCGACAGGATGGCGTGGAAGCGGTAGACTTCTTTGCTCGCGGACTCATCAAAGCTCCGTTCAAGACGGCTCCTTTGGAGGATCTGCCGCGCATCTTCGAACTGATGGGTATGTTGTATACCTGCTTATAATTTTTTTTTATTCATCCCACTAACAGCTATAACAGAACAAGGCCAGATCGCCGGTCGGTATGTCCTTGAAGTACCTCAGTAAGTGAGTAGACACGGGAAAGAACTGGCGTTAGGACATGGCTTCACGAGTTGCTGGTCAGACGGGAGTGTTAAACCAATCCTGAACATGCATTGTACTGGAAGTGACTACTATGATGGGCTTACGACTACGATAATATCTCCATGGCATGTTAAACATGATAAATAATACTAAATAATCGATTCCTTCTATCACATCCACACGTGATACAACATATATCAAGTAGACGAGGCACGCTCTGCTGCAACTCACATTGTCTTTACATCCATGCTTCACCCATCATACACAATCATCACTCACACATCGCCCATCACCTGCAAGACTAAACATATAATAAGTTGTACTGATTAGAACAAAATCCCGAATATATATACAATTAAGTACTAGTAAATAAACTCCATCCAAGAGAGCAAGCACAATGACTGAATGATTTGTATGTATGTACGAAAGAAACACCATTTACCTTTATCCAAAATCCAACTAATGATAGTACTATCTAGTTACTTTATAGTCGCCAAAAATCTAGCTACTTATAATATCACCCACCATCAACTCCCATCCACACACACTCAATATATATACCATCATACAAATATGAACACATAAATAAGTATAAACCCCATCACTTCATCTCATCCTCACTCCCACTCCCACCCCCACCCCCACCCACCGTCATCTGCGGCCCTCTATACACCTTCCTCGCATAAACCACATAATAAACCATCGCGCCCAACCACAAACTCCCATTAATCACAATCGTATAATTCATATCCTGCGCTATACACCCACACCCATACATTAGCTTTAATCCTCTATTCAACAACAACTCCAACCCGAACCACCATCCAACGAAACAAAAGGGAGGGAAGGAAGGAAAAAAAGGAAGAAGGACTTACGCGACGGCCCCGGTCCCCCCGTCGGAAACATACTCAAGACAATAACATACGCCAAATAAACGACAGCAGTAATAGCAATCGGTTTACTAAACCACCCCGTATAAAACTCTCCCGGATGAAACCGCTCCTTACCCCAGACAAGACGACTGAGGATGGGGACCATCCAGGCGAGATCATTGCCCGCGACGGCGAGGGAGAAAAGGGCGCTAGAGGCGGCGTCATCGATGAGACAGAGGAGACCTAGGATGATGGAGACGAGGACGACGAAGCAGACCATTCGGACGGGTTGGTAGCGCACGCGTTTGCTCACATGTCGGAAGAAGGAGGAGAAGGGGAGGGCGCCGTCGCGGGAGAAGGCCCAGCTTTGGCGGGAGGCGGCGACGACCTGGATTCATTTAATATGAGTATATTCTGTGAGGATGTATGTGATGGGTGAATGGTTGGTGATGGGGATGGAAGAGGGGGGGGGGATGTGTACCAAGCTTAGGCCCATGAAGAATTGGACAATTGCTACGACGACCATGAAGCCCAGGGCACCGCTTTTGCCGAGGGCGTCGTAGTAGATCTATCCATAGCTTCGGTCAGTACTATTTCCTAGGGGTATAGGATGAAGGGAATGGAAGGGTGGGTGGGTGGGTGAGTACCTGCGCCATTGGCTGTCCGAAACTCGAGTTCAGCACGGCATTAAGATCCGGGTTGATCACGGCGGCAATGAGCGCGAGAGATACAAACCCTAACAGACCGCAAAGTCCCGCAGACCAGATAATACCTAGGGGTACAGCACGCGCCGCATGGCTGGCTTCCTCGCTCATGTGGACGCAGGAGTCGAATGCGCCGATGGTCCAAATGGGCGACATCCACGAGAGCATGAAGGTCCAGCCCTGGGGCCAGGTTGTGAGGTTCTCGGAGTGTCCGAAGACATATGTTCCCGAGTTGATCTGTCCCCCGCGGACGGCTTTACCGATGGGCAGGGCGAGGACGGTGGCCAGGACGAGGCCGACGTTGCTCACGATACAGGCGGACTGGATTTTGGGCATGATGCGCGCGCAGAAGATGGCGATAAGGCCGTGGACGACGACGCAGGCGACGTAGGTGCCGTATAGGACGGGTCGAGAGGCAGTCCAGTTTCCATCACGCGCAATTGATATGACGGAGAGGAGCATTGTAGCGAAGCCATCTTGTCGGCTAGGGTCAGCGATCGGAGGACATGGAGGATTCGAAGGGTTCGCGTACAATCGATGGAGCAGACGCCGCCGATGAGTCCGAGACTATTGCTGTACCCTACTACGAAGCTGAGAGGGTTCTTCCACTTCTCGCCGCTGAAGTAGTGAGTCCAGAAGTAGAGACCACCGGCTGTCGGCATGGCGGATGCTAGGTCGGCCTATACCAGTGGAGCAGTGAGCATTCAGCAATTTCGATAAGCATATGAGAGATGTTGCCCAGCAAACATACCATCGCCAAAGCCACGATGAAGATAAACACACTGGCAGAGAACCATCCTGCACAAGTCATCAGAATCTCTACCTAGAGTTTACCAAACAACAGCGAAACCCTTACCCTAACTCAAGTTAGCCAAGAATTCCCCATGTATGTAAATCCAGCATGCATATGCAACCATACCCAGACCATGCCCGCAGGACCAGCAGGAATCGAATACGAAAGTGTCGAAGCAATCGAAGGCAACAATCCCATAATACTAAAAGCGATAGCGAAGACCTGGACGGTGGAATAATGACGACGCAGTTCCTGCTTATACCCCAGCGTAGCTTATCCGGATGCGATCAGCACAAACAACCAGCCAAAAAAGCCAACAACTCGATAGAAGTAAAGATGATAGTATGGCATACCCAAAAGCTGTGAGTCCCCCTGCTCGACGGGGGCATCTTCATCAGCTACACGAGCAGCTTCCTTGAGCTTTTCCGCCATCATGGAAAAAAAAAGAGAAGGAACAGCAGACAACAAGCGGAGCGATGAAAGAAGAAACGTGAATGACAGCAGAAGGATGCACAAGCACCAGACACTCAACTTATACTAGTTCCACTACCAAGAGCGCGGGGTTCCAGACCTCCTCCAATCCATTGGGAGTATAACAAGTATCTAATCATCCATCTTTTACGCCGAATGGGAGAAAAAAAAAAAAAGAAACAGTGCTGATAATCCATTCATCCTCCGATAAGCCCAACAAATCGGTGGCGTCGCGCAACCAAATAGGTAAGTAGCCACATCCTAGTAAAATCAACCAATGAACGAGAGAGACGCTCTCGATCAGGAGAGCTGCAAGACTGGGATGTTGTTATCACGACTCTTATCGCGGGGGAACCCTAGCACAACGCCCGAGCAGCCAATCTGGATGATTCTGCGCCTGATAACAACCCGCGCTGGAGCACCATAGTTTGGAGGCTTGTCGCGAAGGATCCATTGCCGATTGCCCATTCGGAATCGGAAGTGACAGGGAGAGGGGGAAAGGAGGATTATTCCGAGGTTTACTGCTAGTCAGTAAGTGCTCTGCCGGTAGTGCCAGCTGGGGAATCACGCGTCTAGTAGTGAGAGGGGGATCGGCCTGTCCGACTAGAATTGGCTTGGCTTATCTACGGAGGTATCTTACTACCTACGCATGTGCTTCATTGCAATTTAGCGAGCAAGAAGAATCTCAATCATTCAGTTCTAAATAGGAACATGGCAATCATACACAATGACATGTGTCCAGGGTGTCCAGACCCGGCTATGCCGAAGAAACAACAATACAAAAGCAGCTGCACCGGTATATAGTGGATATACAAGCACCCCCGCATAAGAAAAAGGGAATTGCTGTCTGGAGCATACTCGCTACTGAACGCAACAGGGCGAGCTACAACCACCAACAGACCCCCAGGGGTCGAGCAGAAGGAACAACAACCATCCCGAAAATAGGAGGCTGGCAGAAGAAACAGTTGAACAGAAGTTGGAATCATGCATTATGAGTACACACAAGGTGGAAAAGAAACGATTGGAGTATCATCTAAACAGCACCAGGCCCCTTGTGGTTCGACTGATCTAACAAAAGTCGAGGCTTGATATAATCTTCGTCCAACTGTCGGAACCACGCCGCGTGGTCCCCGGACGGTCCTCCCGAGAAGAGGTCTCGAATGGCATCGCGGGCACTCAATCCGGTTTCGCGCCGGTTAGGCGAGGTATTGTTGGGGGGAGTGGTCTGCGACGGCTCCAAATATTGTTGCGGCTGGGATGGCGATCGCCTGAGGCGCGAGGTAGTCGGCGCCGGGGCGGACGGGGGAAGGTCGTCATCGGACGGCACATCCTCAACATCAAGGTCAAATGCGTCCAATTGATCGGCGTCTGCCACACGGTTCTTTCCGGTAGTCCTCAAGCCAAACTCGTCCTCACTGGCCACATCGCTATCGCTGTGGCTGCGGGCGGCACTACCCAGCAGCGTGGCTGTCGACGTACGATCACGCCCTGAATCTCTCTGGCTGTATGCGTTGGAATAAAGCCGGGCATGGCCTCGCGTACGGCCCGAGCCGGATGGAGGAGGACTGGGGCGACGGTTGTTGCCGCTCGAATAGCTGTTGTTCCGGTCTATATCACCGCGCGGCACTCCGTCCAACGGAATGGTCGAGTCCATACGGCGAGGCGTGTATCCCAAGCCTGTATCGGAGCGTTTGTAGTAGGTGCCACCGTTGGTGACCTCGATGTCAAACTCATCGTCCGACTCGATCTCTTCAACAACTCCGGTCCGGATTCCCAAAATCTCCAACATCCGGGCCGTCGTGCCACCGAAAATGATGACGGTCAACACCACCACCACGAGAACAGTGGCTCGCAGCGCCGGGGCGTTGACGCCCTTCAGGCCCGCGGCCAGCGCAACACCGACAGCTCCGCGCAGACCTGCCCAGAAAAGCATTGCTTGATAAGCGAAGGGCAGCTCGTCAGCAACATCCATGCCGCGGCGACGGGCTCTGTATCGGATGAACCAGTTGATCGCCTTGGACAGCGGGAACACCGCCAAGTAACGCGCAACACAGATACCGAAAACGGCGACCAGGATAAAGAGAGGCTTGAACTGTAGATGTCTTTGGACGAGCAAGTCGAGTCCGAGATAAATGAAGATAAAGTTCTCCGATAATTGCGCCATCACTTGGAAGAGGTATTTCGTGGTGAGTTGGGTACGGCGCGACATGTTGTAGTACGCATAGTGTTTGAGGGTGATTCCACAGAACAGAAGAGACACAATACCTAAGAATGTCAGCTTGCTTCACACCATTGGTGAAAAGCACATCACTCACCAGACAAATAGACACCATTCGAGAAGAAGTAACTGGCATAGGCGATAAGGACAATCAAGCAACTCTCAATCTTGGGCTGGCGGCGCACATGCGTGTACTTCAAGCCCAGAGCGGTCATGATGCCGACGATGATACCCACCATCATACTTCCAAAGAAAACCAGCAAGAACACTCCAATAGCCTCGAACAAGTTCAAGAAA